CACAGGGGGGTATTTTAGTGGGTCTGTGTCTATATATAAATCCAAGGAGAAGCTCATTTTGGATTGAAGGATTAAAAAGTGTATGTAGCAGTATACATATAGCAGTATACATATAGCAGTATACATATAGCAGTATACATATAGCAGTATACATAGAGCAGTATACATATAGCAGTATACATAGAGCAGCAAATGTAGTGAAATATTCCCACACCTTCAGACTAAAGGTAAATAGGTTGTTTCAATGCATTTGGAAAGTATCATTCAGTCTGTTTTTAAAGGGAAAAAATGAAATATTTGACCATATTTGAGTGACATTAAACACCCCACATGCAACAAAGGCAAAAAAGTTGAAAATTTGGCGCATTTTTAACAGCAAAATAATGTTTAACTTGCTTTATTGATTTTCAATGACCAAACATTTTTTAATCAAAGAAATAAACGGAAAAATGTAAAAAATCTGGGAATTTTTTTTGGCGCATTTTTTTCAGTCCAGAAGGTTTATTCACAATTATGATCTGGATCCAAGGTTTGAACAAAAAAATTTCAAAAATGAAGATTGGAACTCAAATTCAATTTCCAAGGGAAAAATGGGAAAAACGTGCCAATTTCTCTTTACATTGAATTGGTCAGAATAAACTATTCTGTTTAAAAACTGGCTCCATGTTTAAAAATATACAGGGTGTCCCACAAAACATGACTGTTGGTGAATGGTTAAAAATGTCTTCTTCCATAATTTGTTAAGTTGTTTGATACCAAAGAGAATAATAAAAAATATTGTATGGGAGTCATCTTAAAGTAAAATTAATTTCAATGTTAAATATATTTGAGTAAAGATTTGTTTAACAAAATGAAATACAAAAAGTTTTTAAATATAGTTTTTAATTGGCAAATATAAACATTTTCTCACAGAAGTAACAGTGTCTGTTCAACCTTTTCTGATCGGGCTGGATATATATCACCATCTTACAAAGCCAATCTTAAAAAACTGCATAAGCTCTGCAAACTTATCATAAGTGTTTAAGCCTGCGAAAATTAATTAATCCTTGCATCAGTGTAATCTCCAGTTCATTTTAAGTACAGGGCCGAGGTTTAACTAGCTAGAGCAAGCTTTACAGTACACTTACAGATTTTATCAGGCAAAATGGCACAGTACACAAAATGAACCAACCTAGCCTTGAATTTCAGTAGCAGTGTAACGGTAATCTTTTAACACTATATCTGACAACCTACATTGTACATTATTAATTATCTACATAAGTATATAGCTACGCAAATTTTGTATTGCGATTAACCTAACCTAACCCAACTATGTCTGTAAACAACTACGTCAAACCTGCATTAACTTCGCTTGTATATAACGTCATACAACTTGTAATGACGTTGATTAAATTAACTTGTAATATAGAACCCAAAATACATTTTGTTGGAATTAGACTATGCTTGATTACAGATAACCTAACCCAACTATGTCTGTAAACAACTACGTCAAACCTGCATTAACTTCGCTTGTATATAACGTCATACAACTTGTAATGACCCAAGTAACAAAAGTGAGGAATTTCCCCAGATTCTCCAACCGTGGCGACTTTCTTTATGGAATTTTCGAGAAATTTCTCGAGAATCATTTCCTGTAACTGATTCCTCAGAAATCCTCGAAAAATTCCCTAGAATTGGTCCCCGAGATGAGAGATTTTTGTGGGATCACAGTTTTGAGACTCAGTTTCGAGAAATTCCTGAGAAATTCTCCGGAATTTTTCCCCACGAAGTTCCTCAGAATTTCTCCAGAAATGTTCTCCGGAAATTCGTGAGAAATTCTGAGGACTTGGTCACCATGTTTACCGATTTTTAGGGGAATTTATTAAGAGAATTAGTTTCGAGAAATTCCTGGGAATTTCTCCGGAATTTCACCCCAAGAAATTCCTAAGAAATTCTCCTGACTACTTCTACGGAAATTCCTGAGAAATTCTTAGGACTTGGTCACCATATTTACGGATTTTAAGGGGAATTTAATAAAAGAATTAGTTTCGAGAAATTCCTGGGAATTCCTCCGGAATTTCACACCAAGAAATTCCTGAGAAATTCACCGGAATGCTTCTCCGGAAATTCCTGAGAAATTCTTAGAACTTGGTCACCAAGTTTACGGATTTTTAGGAGAATTAGATAAGAGAATAAGTTTTGAGAAATTCCTGAGAATTTCTCAGGAATTTTTATCAAGAAATTCCTAAGAATTTCTCAGGAATATTTCTCCGGAAATTCCTGAGAAATTCTCACAGAATTTACAGAATTTTCAAGTTCCGTTTTTCACCAATAGGTGTCTCTAAGGTTCTCTTCTTTTATGCACTGCCCAAACTAAATCTTTTTTTCTTTGCATCCTTATTGATAAAAAATGATAATTTACTTTAGAACCATCTTTTCAGAAAATATTTAAAACATTTAAACATTTTTTTTATTTTTTCTTGACAATTCAGTTGTCTGAATAAACAAAATACATGACAACTTCAGTAAGATCAAAAACGACTATAACATTCAGACTTAAGAAGATGGGTTGGAGGGGCTATATAGTTGTTAAGTTATTCACTACTTTTGTTAGTGAATATTTCAAGATATTCCTGAGGAACTCTTGAGAAAATCTTGGGAATAGTTCCCAGGAAATTCCCAGGAATTGGTTCTGAAGACCTTTTCGCTAGAAATTCCCAAGAATTTCCACAAATTTTCTCTGGTTTTTCTGAAGAATTGGAAAACAAGAAATTTCCTGGAATTGGTTACAAGAAATTTCCTGGAATTGGTTACAAGAAATTCCTTGGATAGAGTTACGAGAATTTCCTCGGAATGGGTTACAAGAAATTCCTCAGACATGGTTCCTCGAAATGAGTTACGAGAAATTCCTGGGAAAAGCTGTCGACATTTTCACTGGATTTTCCTGTGAAAGATTCCTGGGAATTTCCGCGGATTTTCCGCAAAATTGTTACTTGGGGACGTTGATTAAATTAACTTGTAATATAGAACCCAAAATACATTTAGTTGGAATTAGACTATGCTTGATTACAGTGTTAGAGTAATTGTTTCTTGGTTTACAAAAAAAGAAACGTCCTGAATCACTCTCTTGAAAGATATAAGAAACTATATTGGGAATTGATACAGATAAAATTGTGTCCGGATTGACATTGATAATAAAGTATTGGAACAGATAAAATTGTGTCTGGATTAACATTGATAGTGAAGTATCTTTGAACTGACTAGTTCATATATACCAGGGAGATACATGGAGTATTGATTGAGTTGTATCTTGTAAGACAGATACCTGAGAATATACAGACTAAGCCGTATCCGGATTGATATTGGCTATGGTATTCGTGTTAACCTTGAGTTCCTGGATTGAGTTGTACCTGGATTGATACGGCTATAAAAGTATTGATTGGAGTAGGGCATTTACTACAGCATTGCCACATTTTTAGAAGAAAAAAAATAGTCCAAAAAAACTCATGCCATATTAACCAGATATTCAGTTTTTTTATTTGCTGTTTTTTTCGTGAAGGTTATTTTTATTTGTTAACGGTTTAAAATAAACGGTTTGTGGCGTTTGATAACTTAGCCTTGCCCACCTGTACTCCCACAAGGCTTCATGACTAACTGACTCCAGGACTCTTTGATGGCTCATTTATTTTTGGAACTTAATCCAAATTTTTTGTTTCAATCCTACTTTTTTTTTAAATAATTCAAGTACAATGGAATATCATCTGAAATTGGTGGGTCTTCACTTCCCATCTATTCAGGAATGCGCAATGATTTTCAGAATGCAATTTTTAATTTTCATTAAATTCTATTTTAGATGAATAATTTCACTTAAAGATAGAAATTACTTGTAAAAGTTTTTTTGTTGTGAACTTGTGGATATTGGAGCACATACAAAATGTATCGTCACAAAACTTATCACCACAAAACTTATTACCACAAAACTTATCACAAAACTTATCAAATTAAAACTTATCCAACAAAACTTGTATCTTGATTTACTCCTCCTTCAAAACCATGTTTGCCTAGAAAAGGGCCGGAAAACTGAGAGCGTATTTTCTCTTGAAAATATGCGGATTTGTTGGAGCATTTCCATGATTTGAAATTTTAGATTCATGAATAAGTTTTGAGTTTGATACGTTTTGTAGTTTGATAAGTTTTGTTGTTTGATAAGTTTTGTTTGATAAGTTTTGTAGCTTGATAAGTTTTGTTTGATAAGTTTTGTAGTTGATAAGTTTTGTTTTGATAAGTTATGATGCTAGATAAGTTTTGTAGTTTGATAAGTTTTGTGGTGATAAGTTTTGTCGAAGATAAGATTGTTAACCATTAATTTAAGACCTCTGTAAAATGTCGTCTTCAACTTGAATCTCCTCTCGGAGACAGCCAAACCAAATTTTCAGCCCGCAATTCCCTTTGTACTCCTCCCACGGAGCTTAAAATATTTTCGTTGTTGTGAAATCATTAAAGTTAAGCAAAATATTTTCATAAGAAGCATTAGTGAATTTTGTTAAATATTCAACTGTAATTTTTCAGAAGTTAAAAAAACGTATTTCAATACTGATCAACAATAAGTCACCCCCGACCATCCCTAAATAATTCGTAAGATTTTTTCTACTATTAATATTCATTATAACATTGTACAAGTAACCATGACCTATAATTTATGTTATTTTTTAGGAAATAAAGATTTTGTTATCGAATTTCTGAGACGGGGTTACTCTGTTGTGTGTATTTGTGCGGCCTATCGGGAAAGAATTGTCCGGGGAAAATAAACATCCCCCACCAGAATCCTAACTGGCCTATTATCCTGATTTGTCTAGCGTGTTGCTGTTTTCCGTCAACAAAGATATGTTTTGATATGTTTTGTGGTGATAAGTTTTGTGGTGATAAGTTTAGTGACAATATGTTTTGTATGGGTTCCTGGATATTAATGCTTTAAATACTTCCTTTAAAATATTGATAATAGTCTCTATCTCAAAAAAAAGTTTTTTCAGAATTATTTATTTTTTATTGGATTTGTATATTTGTAGTTGTCTTAAAGTAACAATAATTCCACACAGAACACTGATTAAGAAAGAATTATCAATAATTATATCATTTTATTAAATTGATCTATTTTAGCTAAAAGAAAAAAAACCTTAAAATTAAGTCATTTTTCAGGAATGATTTGTTTTTGGCTAATAAACTTAAACTTAGTCATGCAAATTCAATATTCCTAGAGTAGCAGTTCCAAGGCCAATACCAAGCAGAACAAATCCAGCTACCACATGTTCTAAACTTAGTCTTTCCTAAATTAAGCATGTAAACAGTATTGATAGGTTACTATTGAGATTTTCTGATAATTTTGGGTTTAGAACACTTTGGCATGAATACATCTATTAAGTGAGTTCTATAACCTAATTGAGGCCTATTTGTTTGAAATCATTCTTTAAATATATTGATTAGAAGCCTAGATCAGGGGGGCTGGAACTTAGCTACCTGGCTGTGTGTTTAGCCTGAGTGAACAATTAGTACAGCGTTCAGATATAGGATTTAAGGAGGGGGGGGGGGGATGCCCTGACCACGGCCACCATATATTCTCAATATGATTTCAAGCACCTAACGACTGCTGTTTTCAACAAAATCGTCAGCACCCCGACCCCCAAGAATACATTCTGTTTACGATGGATATTTTAATTTTTAAAACAAATATTCTTTAAGATAATCTTAAACTTGTCTAGATTTCATGATACCGGGTCAGGAGATTTATGTTCTGTGTGAAGTTCACAAGTAAAGGAAATCAGGAGAATCATGAAGTTCTATTTCAAGAAATCTTTGAGAAAAGAAAAAGATAGAGTTGCGGTGTACTTTACAATAATTAGAAACCCAATTAAAATATTATTATTTTTTCATTAATAAATTGTTAAGCCCACCATGTTGTACATTCTTTATGAAATTAATCTTACAGCTTCGTCAGATTTAGAATTTTTTTTTTTTAGCTGGATAATGTATAAAGATTTTAGATATTTGTTTGCCATTTAATTTAACTGTGTCTATTACTCTCTGTGTAGTTAACAAATAAGCTTTTTAAGATAAGAAGAAATAATTTTTTCTGTTTTTGTCCTAAAATTTTCCGTTTTTTGCCTTTCATTCTAAGTTAATTCACTTTGAGATAGAAATTGCTTGTGAGAAAAAATAACAGTTTTTCCTAGTAAAATACTCAATTTTGTAGAGAATTTTATTTACCCTTCATTTAAAGTGGGGCGTGTCCGACTCACAACTGTACTCTTTAAACCTTCGTCTGATCAATAATTTGGAAGATATCTTTGTTTTGCAAGCTTGTAAAGTGTTTGAATTCTGGCCATTTTTGACAGCCCCTTTTACTTTTAAAGTTAAAAATATGGATATCCTTTTTAATATTACGAAGCTTATAGGGGCCCTCTATGTACTAAATATTATGTCTGCAGGTCCTTTAGGGACCATGAACAAAGACTTATAATTATTCTCTAAATTTTGATAATCAAAATAACGTCTTCAAAAATCCCCCTCTTCTTTAAAATGTACATGTTGACCTTTTCGTCAAATTTTGAGGGGACCACACAAACAAAAATTAAGCATATTTTTTTTCTCTTAAATTGAAGGAAGGTTTTATTTCTGTATTTCAATTTTGAACTGCACAATGCAACCATTTAATAAATGTTAAAATTAAGGCTGGGTGGGTTGAATCTATGTATAGCTTGTCCTGTCAAACGATCGTTTTCAATAATTATTAACAACCCTACTTGTACATCATGAACTTGTCATGCAAAAAGAACAATGAATAGTGAATATGTTTTACTTCTTGTGTCAATTTGTAGAAAATAAATTTAAACTGATCACTATCATCTTGTCATTCTGAATTGTGTGTCTAACTGGTCCTCTATTCAACACAAAACACCCCAAACATTTGTACAGAGTATAATCCTTGTCGCAACTCTAGCTTTATATTCAATGTACTGCATGGACATACCTACTAGCTAGTACAGAGCCAAATTAATATTTTCAGTTATAGCTGAAACACTCCAATATGGTGAAGGCAACATGAGCTATCTAGTTTAATTTATCTAAGTTTTGTGATTACCATACCAATGTATATGTTTCTTCATCCCATTTTATCTCGGAATATCTAGAATCTATGTAGTCAGATAATGCAGCCTGAAAGGTAAGATATTCTTTAAATTCTAAAGATTATAAATTCAATGTAAAGAATAATGTCATTTTCAGTATGCAACCGGCTGAATCTATGGTACTTATGCAATAGAATTTGTCTTTGTGACAATTTATTTAATACATCATTGAGCCATGTTGCTTAAAACAATTTGCTATGAAGATAGCGGAATACGGCATAAAAAACCTATGCTACAATTTTCGTATTTTTAGTATTTTCTCATGGAAGTTAAATATTTTTCAAGCAATGCCTGGTGTCTAAATGCCTGGTGTTGCTTTAACTGTTTTTTTTGTGGGGGGTGGGGGGATAAGAGATGCAAATAAGTACTCATTGTAATTGAGTCTCACCTGATGAGATATACACTCAAAATGGTTGAGTATTTCCTGCCATTTTGATCTCTTCTGCATAATCCAACCAGAAAGGTCAGAGGTTAAGTGTTCCTTAAAGGGACAGACCTGCCATGTAAGGTAGTTGAACTGAGTATGCAGTGTTGTGGAAAGCTTCTTTAGGATCCATTTGAGACAAATAAAACTTTATAAAGATCTTTAAATCCTGAGTTTGAGTAAAGATTCTACTCCTACATTGAGGGTGGATATGTTTTCAGAACCATTTTTTTTAATTACTAAATAACGATCACGAAAAATGTAAACAAAACTCAACAGTAAACTAATTAGTTGTTAAGGAACCGGTTGAGTAAATGAAAATTAATTTTATCATCGAAAATAATTTATCTTGTTCAATTATTAGTTTCTATTTTCTCATTATTTTAGTTTCTCATTATTCACAAAGATTTTCTGTAGATTTTCTGGATTTATTATTGAAAAGACGACATTTGAAGAATTTGAAGAAATCTGTAAGTAAATTCAAAGAAAATTAATATAATGATGAAAACAAAATAATTGATTCTAGCATTGATTTATTGACAAATTTCTTTTGAGAAATATGTTCCCAACCATCTAATTAGTTTACTGTATGATTTTTACTAATTTTTTTAAGTAGGAGTTTTGAACGTCGAATTTGCGCTCAAACTTAGGATTTACAGATCTTTAAAAATTTTTATATGTCTCAAATGAATCCTAAAGAAGCTTTCCACAACACTGCATACTCAGTTCAACTACCTTACATAGCAGGTCTGTCACTTTAATAATCAAGTGCTTTTTTTGGTATATGGTTAAAGGAATGATAACAATTGAAATTACATACATCACTAGTGTATAGTTTATAATCCTCCGGTATGAGATCCTAAGTAGAAAATAAAATTAGTTTACAATGAAAAGGTTTAAAGTATGGAGCATTACCAAATCAAAAAAAACCAAATTTGCTATCCCTTTGTCTGCAATTAGATCCACCATTTCTTGCTAGAAAACAATTATGACTAACAAATTTAAATATAACTTTTTTATGATTATACCTTGTTGTGAACAAAAATAGTTGTACTCATTATTTTGATCACATTTGAATCCTCAGATTTTGACAGTTTGTCATAATAGACCATGAATTCACTGTCAAATGCCAAGGTCTAATATAAGAATATTTTAAGTACAAGCTTTTTAGGTATTTCACGCCCATCTTCTATTTCAATCGTGGAATATGTTCTTGTTGTATACATTGTAGAAAAAAATTTGCGGATTTTATAAAAAGAATTTATGGATTTTCAAAAGTTTTTTAATTTGATCACCCATAAGCCTTCCCTAGGGTAATGCGAGGCCCTACAAAAAATATGGGCCCGATTAGTTCAGCCGTTTTAGTGTTATAATTGGATTCAAACAGACAGACATAAAAGTATAAACATGGATTTTTAATTTTTCACAAAAAAATTGGGTTTTGAAAAATGAACTGCTCAATAGTAAATGTGTTAAAAAACATGACAGTGTTTTACTGTGCAAAGTATAATTGAAATAAAAATAGTAGCATTTTCAATGCTTTATAATTGCTACTTTCTACCATGCTTGTATCTTTTTAAAACTATGAAAGATGTTAGATCAAATAGTTTATGTAATTGTCTATAAAAATTAGATTCAGTGGCAAAAGCTTAGTTTCTTTTCAAAAATAAATCTAAAGTTTGACATATTACCATGCCCCTTTGAGCAATTTGAGAATGTGTATCTAGGAAAGGGTCCCAAGAAGGAGCTAAAAGTATGGCCCTGAAAACAATGACAAAATTTGGAAATCAATGAAATTATTGGATTCAAACCATTTGAAAAAAGCAACCTCTTTGCCGCCTGAAAACTTCATGACCTAAGTGCTCCGCACACTGAGGTCATCAGATTCTAAAAATTACTGATTATGTAATGTCTCACATATGTCTTTTAGTATTGTAAGTTTGAAAAAAATCGTTGATGGTGCCTACTAGGAGGTGGCTGATTTCAGATGGGCTGACCCATTTGGTAATAGAAATGCTTAGAATTTCTTGTTATTCTTTAATAATTAAAAGAAATTGAGTCTTTGTTTTACACCTTTTTTTAACCTAATAATTAAATTAGATCAATAAATTATGGTTTACGCTTTTACGCTGCAGAGGTTTAAGGGTTTGAAATTTGAGTTTGTGGCTAAGATAATAATTCCTGTAACCCCTAAGCTCAAGTATTGAAAAATCACCTGAATTACAATAAAACATATTAATTGCCTGTACTTCTAATTTAAGTAATTTGCAAGAAAAAAGCATACTTAAATTTTGTTTCAGATCTTTATCAAAGCCAATAATGGAAAGTTTAAGATAAAAAATGTGCAAAAGTTTTTTATCCTGGAGTATTAAGAATTCATAACTAGCATTAAACTGACCTAAGGTTACTGGAAAACCCCATTGTCAGGAGTGCTGATGCCAGAGCCCAAGTAAGTAAGATTAAGCTTCCAGAGTACACTTAAATTTAGATGATCTTTAGATGGATTTCCTCACTCAAAAGACAATGTAAAATATTTATACAGGAGAAGAAACTTTTCAGTATGTATAAAATGCCTCTTTTTTGACTACGAAATGTGCACCTTTGAGAAGGTGGGTGGTGAGGTTAGTAAAGGTCGGAATGTGTTTTGAATTCCAGAAATACGCTAAAACAATTGATTTAATGGGAATCGATATCCATATTTATACCATGCGCATTGCGCATAGAACAAACACAGAGTGGGGATGTGGTCACCACCCACCTGCTGAAGGGTGCATATTTCGTAGTTGAACAAAAGGCATTTTTCCTATTTATGTTCACTCCAAAACCTGCAAGCAATCAAGATAACATCTTCTTCATTACCTCGATGTTTAGAGAAAAGAAACAGGTCTGGCATTGCTTCAGCATTTATTAAAGAAAAAGGAATCAGAGCCACCAACACATTATCAGGCTTAAATTAGCATGAGTTTGAATTAATAATAGCATATGAATAATAGTTCAGTAGCTGTACTTTCTGACTACAATAGGAATCATGGAATACAAGTTGGTTAGTGGGTTGCTTATATATTTAAGATCAATAGATAAAATGTAAATAAACAGATATAAGACAACAATTAACCTGTTTAAAACCAAGCGCTTTAACCATTTTGGAAATAAATAGCATTCCGATACTTGTTGAAATCAAACTAAATATCAAGTAATATCATAATTACGTAGAAAATTATCTTATAAGTTACCTTACTAGAATCCCAAACCAGGTAACCTTGTCAAACACCTTTATTGATCAATTAGATTATTTATTTAATTTAAAATTAAATGTTTTCTGAAAATGGTTGTTTGTACCTTCAACAAGTTTTCGTAAGCAGGTCTTTTCTCCGGGTACTAAAATCAAGAAAATGAAGGCATTTTTTTTTGTTTTTTAACTAATCAAGGTATAACTGCTGAAAAATTCATGTTTAAGTTTTGGTTGGAAATAGAATGAACTTCCCGAGTGGACCATCTGGGACTAACGACTAACCTTGTGACTAACGTAGGCGCTCTTTTGTTTAATGTAGCAAATTTCAGAGAGCGGATATGATCCCCAGCATGGGGTCATTCAGAAAACAAGCTAGAATGAGACTAAAAATATGCCTATTTGCAGCGGCGCAACTAGGCCTTTTCTGAGGGGGGGGGCGAAATCTGAAA